GGATCTGTTGTAATGTCCCCATTTCATTTCTTATTTGGGTTATTTGCATCCCTTCCTGTTTTTCTTTTGTCAGTTTGGCCAGTGGTTTGTTGATTTTGTTGACCCTTTCAAAGAGCCAACTTTTGGTTTTGTTGATTCTTTCTATTCTCTATTTCATTTATTTCTACTCTGATCTTTATTATTTCCTTTCTTCTGGTGGCTGTGGGCTTCTTTTGCTGTTCTCTATTTGTTCGAGTTGTGTAGCTAATATTTTGATTTTGTCCCTTTCTTCTTTTTTGATGTGTGCATCTGTTGCTATAAGTTGACCTCTGAGCACTGCCTTTGCTGTGTCCCAAAGGTTTTGGTATGATGTGTTTTCATTCTCGTTTGAGTAGAGGAATTTTTTTATTCCATTTTTGATTTCTTCTCTTACCGAGTGATTTTTAAGAAGGGTATTATTGAGTTTCCATGTAATTGATTTTTTTCCTTGCTCTTTCTGTTGTTAATTTCTACTTTGATGGTGTTGTGATCAGAGAAGATACTTGGTATTATCTCATTGTTTTGGATTTTGTTGAGAGTTGCTTTGTGGCCTAAGATGTGGTCTATTCTGGAGAACGTTCCATGTGCATTGGAAAAGAATGTGTAGTTTGCAGCTGTTGGGTGGAGGGTTCTGTATATGTCTATGAGTTCAAGTTAGCTGATTGTGGCCTCTGGATCTTCTGATCCTTGTTGAGTTTCTTTCTAGATGTTCTGTCCTTTACCAAGAGTGGTGTGTTGATGTCTCCTACTATTATTGTGGAACTGTCAATTTCTCTTTTTTTAAATGCTGTTAAAGTTTGTTTTATGTATTTTGGAGCCCTGTTGGGTGCCTAGATATTTATTATGGTTACGTGTTCATGACGGATTGTCTTTTAACCATTATATAATGCCGTTCTTTGTCTTTTATGGTGGATTTTGTTTTATAGTCTATTTTATCTGAGATTAGTATTGCCACTCCTGTTCTTTTTTGGTAGCCATTTGTTTGATATATTTTTTTCCACCCTTTGATTTTTAATAAATTTACGTCTTTGTTTTAAGGTACGTTTCTTTCAGACAGCATATTGATGGATCCTGTTTTTTATCCATTCTGTCATCCTCTGTCTCTTTATGGGTGCATTTAGGCCATTTATGTTCAGTGTACTTATTGATAGGTGTGAGTTTATTTCTGTTATTTTGTAGTGCTTTTTGTTTGTGGTGCTGATGTTTTCTTTATTCCTTTTACCTTCCTGTGCTGAATTCCTTTTGTGGAATTTTTTTTTTCATTTCTTTTGTTTTTATATACTTTGTTTTTACTGAGATTTCTTGTTTTTCTTCTTTATTTTGATGACTAGGTTTCTTAACTTTCTTTGTGGTTACCTTGAAATTTACTCTTATCTTCCTAGGTTTGAACCAGTCTTTTATGACTTGGTACAGCCTTGCCTTCCTCTGCATTAGAAAGTTCTATACCTAAACACTGTTTATTCCCTCTTTTATTGTTTTGACATTGTCGTCATTTACAGATTAACCTCTCTGATTCCCTGTTGTAAATCTTTCAGTTTTGATTAATCCTTGAGAGTTCATTTCCTAGGTTGGTATCTGGCTCGTGCAATCTTGCGTTGTAGATTCAGGCTGTGGTCTGATGTTTGTTCTCAGACCGAAGAACTCCCTTCAGTAATTCTTGTAAGTTTGGTTTGGTTTTTCATATTCCCTTAATTTCTGTTTATCTGGAAATGTCCTAATTTCACCATCATATTTGAATGAAAGTTTTGCAGGATGTGTTATTCTTAGCTGGCATTTTTTTTCTTTCAAGGTTTTATATATGTCATCCCATTGCCTTCTTGCATGCGTTGTTTCTGCCGAGTAATCAGAGCTTAGTCTTACTGTTTCTCCTCTGTATGTGAATTCTCATTTTTCTCAAGCTGCTCTCAGGATTCTTTGTCTTTGCTTTTAGCAAATGTGTTTATGATATGCCCTGATGATTTTCTTTTGGGGTCTATCCTATATGGGGTTCATTGAGCTTCTTGGATGGTCAGCTTTTCATCTTCATGATATTAACAAAGTTTTCTGTCAGCAGTTTGTCAATGATCCTCTGTGTTTTCTGTTTTCTTCCCCCTGTTCTGGAACGTGAGTCACCTGCAGATTTTTGCTTTTGACTGTATCCCACATAATTCTCAGGGTTTCTTCATTTTTCTTTTTTCTTTTCTCTGATATTTCCTCAAACAGAGTGGTATTCAAGTATTTGTCTTCAATTTCACTCCTGTCTTCCATTGTTTCAAACCTGCTCCTCAGATCTTCTGTGACTCTGTCCATTTCTGAAATTTTTATGTTTATCTTTTGGATTTCTAATTGTTGTTTTTGTATGATTTCTGGTTGTGAATTTATTTTGGCATTTTGTTCCTGTATTATTTTCCTGAATTCTTCCATTTTTTTGTCTGTATTTTTCATGATTTTATCTGTCTTTTCCATGAATTTGTCTATTTTTTTCCTCATTTTTGTCTGCCTTTTGCTTCAACTATTGGATAGCTCTGAATATTAGAGATTTGAATTCCTTATCAGGTAGTTCCAGTGCCTTTTCTTCTGCTGGAAAGTTATCTGGTGTTCTATTTTGGATGCCTACTGAAGCCATCCTGTCCTGTTTTTTCATATGTTTTGATATTGTCTGCTGTCTTCAGGACATTCATAGTTATTTTATTTATTGATTTTAGATTTGTTTGTTTCGTCCTGCTTTTTTGTTTTATTTGTTTACATCTGAGCATGTGGGCTGTGCATTCTTTGTCGTTTGCTTGTCTGTTTGGATGATACTTTTCACCTCCTTGTCCAATGGACAGGGCCAGTTGTTCAGCTGTGGTGCAGCAGGGCAGGTCCAGCCAAAGGGGAGGGGCTGGGATGAGTTGTTTGTGGCATGTACTGGGGCCAACAGGACAGGCCAGGGGCCAGTGCAGGGCAAGTTCCGGTAGGCCGTGCCTGTGCTACCTGGGTATACAATGTTCAGTGCACAGTGCAGATAGGCAGGTGGGGGGGGATGTTGTGATGTGTGGAGCTAAGTTGGGTATGGGAAAGAAGAGAGAAAAGAGAGAAACAGAGGCTGGAAAAAAAAGTGCTGAGGGAGCCTGCAGTTGGAGTGGAGAGATGAGAAACTGAGAAATGAAGAAAAACAAAGAGAAAATAAATAAAAATTAAAAAATAAAGAAATGCCCCCAGGGATCTTACCAGTGACCAGGTAAGTGGCTCCCAGGCCTTGAGACACAGCCCGGCTAGAAGGGGCAGAGATGGCACACAGTGCCAGGTATTCAGGAAACAGGAAAAGAAGGTAAGTAGAGAGACAGGAAACTGAGAAATGCAGAAAAACAAAACAGAGAAAAGAAAACTGAAAAAAATAATACTAAAAAATAAAAAAAAGAATACTGAGGGATCCCACTGGTGCGGCTGCGCAGACCAGGGAATTGGCTCCCAATCCTTGAAGTACAGCCTGGCTAGAAGGGGTGGAGATGACACACAGCACCAGGTATTCAGGAGATAGGAAAGAAAGTAAGTAGAGAGAGAGAGACGAGAAACTGAGAAATGAAGAAAAACAAAAAAGAAAAGAAAAAGAAAGGCCCCAGGGATCCCACCAGTGTGGCAGCTGGGACTGGGGAACCAGTTTCCCAGCTGAGCGGTGGTTCACAGCCTGTCAAGAAGAAGCAAAGAGAGCACACAGAGCCAGGTGTTTGAAAGAATGGAGGGGAAGGAGATGAAAAGACAGGTGAAGACAGATGAAAGACCAGCAACAAAGAAATGGCAGTGAAGGAGCCAGCTGGGGTGGGTGGGTCAAATCCAAGCTGCATGGAGTCAGCGCCTCTGAGCCAAGCAACCACAGCTTGCTGGGAAGCAGTGGAGGCCAAGCAGGGGGAAGAAGGGTGGGGGGTGGGAAACTGTATCGCTGGTTACTGGATGCTGTGTCTCCTGCTGGGAGCTCTGTGAAGTTGCTTTCTCTTACTCCCTGTCCACCAGTCTCTGACAGGAGTCCAAGATGGCAAATCTGTGCTGCATTAGCTGAGAAGGGACCTCCGTTCCATCTCTCTGCTCACTCTCTGTCAGTTTCTTATTCTATTCGGTGCTTGGTTGAGTTCTTTATCTCTTCATTTGATACTTAAGGTTCCAGGATTGTCGTTTATCTCTGTTTTACTTAGTTTTTCGGGTCTTTGCTGTGGAGGGACAGTGTGGTGCTTCTGTCTATAGTGCCATGTTGGCTTTGCCTGATTTTTAGTAATTTTAAACTATTCTGTGATAGTAATTCTTATAGCTTATATCCTCAAAGGAAATCTCTAAAAATGAAACCATTAGATCAAGGAGGCTTCTAATATGTATTTTCAAAATGTTTTCTGGTAAGATTTTCCTACCAGCCATGTTAAAAGTGCCATAGGTTTACTCTTTTTTCCCCATTTAAAAAAAAAAAAAGACACAAGTATAAAGAATACTGCAGAGCATAGATTGGTTATATTTAATATTTGTTTAAACTGAGAGCTATTCTTAAAAATTGTATTGCTCAGATTTGACTAACTTTCTCCAAAATAAAGCTGTTGAAATGAATGAGTCATCACATATTCATTGAATACCTAGATATGGAGAGAAATTTAAATATAAGTAAGATAGGATCCCTGCCGTTAAGGAGCACACATTTTGGGCAATGATGGAGTTACAGAAATAAACATATATCCTCCAAGATAGCCTAAAGATGTAATTAGAAATGTAAATATTCTTAGATTTTTTTAAAGCTTATTTTATAGCTATATCTGTTGCATCTGAAAGATAGCAAGCAGTATTAGATAGTGCCTAGTGGCAGAGTAGGTCTATGGCCAATATTTATTCTTCTTATTCTGAGAAATAGTAGTTACTGAGACTTCGAGTAGTCCAGGAAGGTGTCACCAGGGCAAGGGGGGTTTGAGCTGAAATTCAGGTGGCTGTGTTGCTGTGAGAACTGTTAAGGTTGTACATAATTGATACCTGCTTTTTCCTTCTTCCAGATTTGGCATAAGGGGAAAGAAGGTACATTTTTCATCTTCTTATGCTCATAAAGCATCTTCCATTGCCAAATCTCCTAGCTTGTGTTCTATGGAAAGAGAAGAAGAGAAAGACTGTGTTATCTTCTCGGAAGGAATAATAGAGGAATACCTAGCATTTGACTGCACAGATATGTGAGTATTATGTCTTTTTACTCCTTGTAAACATACTGTTTACTCCTCTCCTATTTTGTGTATTAATACCTTCTTTTTTCCTAAAATATACTACCAAAATTACCTATAAGTTTATGTCAATTTCTGTTGTTTTTTTCTGGTACTTCTCAGGTGTCCAGAATTAATATTCTTAGTAGAATCAAATTCCTGTTGCTTCCACATACCAGGTTTACTTGGTATTTTCTTCCTTCACATGTGCCTTTTCCTGAGATTAGAGATTTTAAAACAAGATTATTTTCCTTTACATAATTTAATTTTATCACCAGTAAATCATGGAAACTCTGAAACTCGTTAAAAGAGCAGTTGACAAGGTGTGAACTTTGTTGACATAAATCCTGCTTGAAAAAAGATATATGCAATTTATATAAAACCTCATACTTGGCACAGAAATTTACAATTAATAAAGCTTATTGATATCCATTCTTACGATACTCTGACACTAGTCATGTGATATAGATATTATTTACCCTCCTTATAAAAGAGGAAATTGAGAATCAGAGTAGTTAAATGATGTATCTGAGGTAAAGCCGAAATCAAAACCTTATTCATCCGATTCTAAATCCTTTGCTGTGTTCACTATTCCATGCTATCTTTCTGAAACATTAACGTCCTAAACTATTCCTCCAAGCCTTTGAAAGTTCCACAACTGATGGTAAGAGCAGGGCCACCTAAGGGAGTTAGAATAGTATTTAGGCTGTGAGGCTGGGGTTAAATCTAGGTAGTGTTGTGTCACGTGATTTTGGACTCACTTCTCTTCTTCCCATCCTATTTCCTCTGAGCCTTGCTTGCCTACGTGCTAAATGCACACAGGCCTAGGTCCAGCTAAACGTAACCCAGGTTTCTGTACATCACACCACTGAGCTAGCTGCTTATTGCAACTGAATCATAAGTAGGTTCTTTTGGTTTTCCAGAGGCTGCCCCCCCCTTCCCCTTCACTTCACCTGACCTGTGTCAAATTATGTCTTTCTTCCCTTCCTTTTTTCCCAAATCAAATGTCTTCTCCCTTGGTGTTTTTAAGCTGATTTCACTAATTTAAAATGAGATGTAAATGGCTGATAGGTATCCCCTTTTCTAGATAGTAAACCCAAATGAATTTTTAGATAACACAGACAAAATTTTTAGAAAGGGAGCTTTCCTTTAAGAGATACCAAGATATCTGGTTGTAAAAATGACAGAGTAGTTGGACCTTTAGAATATTCCTAAACAAAAAAAACTGAAATCTAGAAATAAACCAAAACACCTGTGGGAAATTAGTATATGCAATGATTTCAGCAAATGATTTTGGTATAACATGGAAAAAACATCTGGGGGAAAAAAATAAAATAAGTTTCCTAATTTATTTCTTACACAAAAAATAAATTTCACGTGTATTAAAGATTTAAATGTAACAAATAAAATCATGTAAGTTTTAGAAGAAAACATGGAAAACTGATTTTTCTTTCTAATAATCTGGGAATGAGAAGGCCTTTCTAATTATAACACAAAAATCTACAAGTCATATAAGAAATTCTTGTAAATGACTATATAAAATGAAATTTCTGCATAGGAAAAACTCAAAGTAAAAAGACAAATGATAAACTGGGAAAAATATTTGCAATTTATACATAAACGAAGAGTTAATTTCTTCAATGTGTAAATCAATTAGAAAAAGACTAGGGAAAAAACAGGCTAAGGACATGAATAGTCAGTTCATAAAAAGAAAATGACGTTTAAACATATGAAATGAAATTCAACCTCATTCACAATTAGAGATGCAAATTAAAATTATGAGAAAGCATTTTAATTGTCAAATTGACAGAGAACAAAAAAATTTGATAATTCCTTGATGGGTAAACAGGTATATTCTTTCACCATTGGAAAATTAATCAACCTCTTTAGAGGGAAATAGCAATTTTTGAAATTCATATACCTTTTAACGCAATAATTTTGTTTATAGGAATTTATCCTACAGATGTAATTGCCAATGTCGCCAAAGAACTACAGTATTGATTATAATAGCAAGAGATTGGTTAATCAGTAAGGGGCTAGTTAGATATGTTATTGTATATCTATTCAATGGAATATTTTATTAAAAAAGTAGATTTATATGTATTGGTAGGGATCAAGGGCCAAGATATATTGTTAAATTAAGAAAGTAAGTGCAGTACAGTGTAGTATGCAACTGTTTCTCTGGAACTATGTATAATGTTTGCTTCTAGGGTTGAGGACTGGGGGTCAGAGATGTAGGAGATTTATTTTTCATTACATATCCTTCTGTACAATTTGAAATTTTTTTTATCATATGCATATGTTATCTACTCTAAAAAGAAATATAAATTTAAAAACAATTAATACTACTCAGCTTACTCTCCTACTTAATGCCAAGCCAGCTTTTGGGGAAAGAGAGGAGAAAAGAGTTTGTGGCTACCCTGAATAATCCTCTTAGCCCCTTCTTTCCTGCCTATAGTTTCCTATTTAAGTCTTGAGACCTGCCATAGGGGTAACTCTCACTGTAGAGAGTTAATTTGCTTTATCTTGGTTTATAAGTCCCAGGGGTGAGCAGATCTATTAACTATATTTTTTCACCAGAATCCTAGAACTTTTGATACTCCTTCCTCGGCTAACTGGGAGCCTCTGGATTACAGATACAGTAGTTTTCAGAAGAGTCCAAGAGTAGCTTCCTGTGCTGCTTAGCTAACTTCCTTTTCCCTTCCAGCCAAATACCAAATGTTTATTGTCTTAATAAAAATATATTAGTGTTAATAATGGAGAGGCTGAATATAATCAGTCAGAACAAGGCCAGGAGCAACTGTAGAACAGATCATCAATTGTTCATAGGCAAGTATAATGAAGCTGAAGAAAATTAAAACAAGTCCATTAGAACCAAAGTACAACCTTGAGTATGTAGCACCTGAATTTAGAGATTTATCTCAAGAATAGATTTGACGCATTGAACACTAATGACCGAAGACCAGACAAGTTGTGGGATAACATCAAGGACATCATACAAGAAGAAAGCAAAAGGTCATTAAAAAGACAGGAAAGAAAGGAAAGACCAAAATGGATGTCAGAAGAGACTCTGAAACTTGCTCTTCAATGTGGAGTAGCTAAAGCAAACGGAAGAAATGATGGAGTAAAAGAGCTGATTAGATGATTTCAAAGGGCAACTCGAGAGGACAGAATAAAGTATTATAATGAAATATGCGAAGACCTGGAGTTAGAAAACCAGAAGGGAAGAACACTCTTGGCATTTCTCAGGCTGAAAGAACTGAACTAAAAATTCAAGCCTGGAGTTGCCATATTGAAGGATTCTATGGGCAAAAAATTGAACGACACAAGAAGCATCAAAAGAAGGTGGAAGGAGTACAGTCACTGTAGAAAAAGAATTGGTCGACGTTCACCCATTTCAGGAGGTAGCATATGATCAAGAACTGGTGGTATTGAAGGAAGAAGTCCAAGCCACACTGAAGGCATTGGCAAAAAACAAGGCTCTGGGAATTGACGGAATACCAGTCGAGATATTTCAACAAACAGATGCAACACTGGAAGCACTCACTTGTTTATGCGAAGAAATTTGGAAGACAGCTTTCTGGCCAACCGACTGGAAGAGATCCATATTTGTGCCCACTCCAAAGAAAGGTAATGCAACAAAATGTGGAAATTATCAAACTATCATTAATATCACATGCAGGTAAAATGTTGCTGAAGATAATTCCAAAATGGTTGCAACAGGGAATGTTCCAGAAATTCGGGTCAGATTCAAAGGAGAACATGGAATGAGGGATATCATTGCTGATGTCAGACGGATCTTGGCTGAAAGCAGAGAATACCAGAAAGATGTTTATATGTGTTTTATTGACTATGTAAAAGCATTCAGTGGTGTGGATCATAACAAATTTGGATAGCATTGTGAAGAATGAGAATTCGACTTAATTGTGCTCATGGGGAACCTGTACACAGACCAAGAGGCAGTCATTTGAACAGAACAAGGGGATTCTGCATGGTTTAAAGTCAGGAAAGTTGTGTGTTGAGGTTATATCCTTTCACCATACTTATTCAATCTATATGCTGAGCAAATAATCCGAGAAGCTGGACTGCAGCATCAGGATTGGTAGAAGACTCATTAATAACCTGCGGTATGGAGACAATACAGTCTCGCTCGCTGAAAGTGAAGAGGACTTGAAGCACTTACTGATGAAGATCAAAGACCACAGCCTTCAATATGGATTACACCTCAACATAAAGAAAGCAAAAATCTTCACATTGGACCGTTAAGCAACATCATGATAAAGAGAGAAAAGATTGAAGTTGTCAAGTTTCAAATGATCCAAGTTTCATTTTACTTGGATCCACAATCAACGCCCATGGAAGCAGCGGTCAAGAAGTCAAATGACGTATTACATTGGGCAAATCTGCTGCAAAAGACCCCTTTAAAGTGTTAAAAAGCAAAGATGTCACTTTGAGGACTAAGGTGTGCCTGTCCCAAGCCATGGTATTTTCAGTCACCTCATATGCATGCAAAAGCTGGGCAGTGAATAAGGAAGACCAAAAAATTGATGCCTTTGAATTGTGGTGTTGGTGAAGAATACTGAATATACCACGGACTGCCAGAACGAACAAATCTGTCTAGCAAGAAGTACAACCAGAGTGCTCCTTAGAAGCGAGAATGATGAGACTTCGTCTCACTTACTTTGGACGTATTATCAGGAGGGACCAGTCCCTGGAGAAGGACAACATGCTTGGTAAAGTAGAAGACCAGCAAACAAAGAGAAAGATCCTTAACAAGATGGATTGACACAGTGGCTGCAACACTGGGCTCAAACATTGTAACGATTGTGAGGAAGGCACAGGACCAGGCAGGGTCACTATGAGGTCGGAAGCAACTCGTGGGCACCCAACAACAACAGTGTTAATAATATATGTATACGGTTTCCCTGAAGAATCATTTTTCAAATAGTTATACAATGTAAGTATCACAGTTACATGTACATAATTAAATTGTCACATTAATGTTAATCTAAATTTCATCCAGTTATAGCAAAAAGATTATTTTTGTACGCTTAATTGTCATAGCTTGTTGCTCAATTGACAGTGTTCATCTGTTTAAACCTTATAATGCATCTCAGCCTTCTGTTTCTTCTACCTTTTAGCAGAATGGCAGAGATGGGTGGAGGTAAAGAGGGAAATGCAGTCTCCTTTATTGATAACTGCCTTAGTTCACAAGGTAGCTTCATACGTGTGGTATATTCGCTGAGCAAAGGTTAGGAGAGGGGCACAAACCACATGCTTAAGAAGCACGAAGAACAGTGGTGAGCACTTTTTGAAGAATAATCATAAAGTCTTTCCCTCTTGCTTCTGTTATAGGGAAGAGGAGTTTCATGGAACAAAATCAGAAGTGGCTGCTGAGAAACAGAAATTAGGTTACCCTCCCATTGCTCCATTTTACTGCATGAAAGAGGATGTCCTTGCATGTGTATTTGACAACGTGTGGAGCAAGGTTCTGGGCTGTATGGAGGAGTTGATACGTAATCACTGGGAGGGTTATGTTTCTGGTAAGGATCTGTGTGAAAACAATGTAAAGGATATTTAGGATTTTCAAGCCTTATTAGTTGGAATTGACTCGATGGCAACTAACAGCAGTAACCAATGTGTTAGTTTATATGCTTGATTAGTGGAAAAGGAGGGTCTGAATTCTTTGTATTTCCCACAGGTATTTAATAAATACTGACAATGAGTGGGTGAATAACAAGGCCTAAGTATGATGATTAGACAGAACTTGTGCTTTCTCTTTGAATATAATGATTTGTGAGGAAAAACTATTTACTATATACAAGTGGCAAATACATTTTTTAAACTGCTTTAAATTGACATAAAACGAACTATACATTTTGAAGTATACAATTTGATAAGTTTTGATACATCTGTACACCCATGAAGCCATTATCACAATTAAGATTGTGAACGTACACATCACCCCCAAAAGTTTCCTCATGCCTCTTTATAATCCCTCTTTCCTTTTCCTACCCAACTCCTCACCCCTAAGTGACCACTAATCAGCTTTCTGACACTATTGTTTGTGTTTTGTAGCGTTTCTAATTTCTTAAGTCTTTCCTGATCTGATTATGTTGCTTTTGCTTGCTCTCTATCAAGGTGCTTTGTTTCCTTGTGGATCTTATGATTTTTGACAGTGGGTTCTAATCTTGTAACTTTGTCTGTGGTAACTCTTTGAGGCCTCAATTGAATATCTCAAGGTTCCCCTAGAGCCACTCTGTCCAATATAGTGGCTGCTAGCCACATATGGCTATTTAAATTAAAATAATTAAAATTTAAAATTCATTTCCTCATTCACACCAGCCACATTTCAAATGCTTGATAGCCACATGTGGCTGATGGCTATCATATTGGACAGCACAGATGTAGAACATTTTTGTCATCTCCAAGTGTTCTTTTGGACAGGGTAGCTCTACAGATCTTTGCTTTTGTTTCTACTGGTTACCAGTAAGTATCACCAGCCTGGGACCACTTTAAATTCTTGACTTGAGGTTTCTGTTTTGAACCATGCAGGTGGTATGAAATTGGGCTGCAAAGATGAGTGAAGCTTAGCTCGGGATTATGAATCTTCAGGGGAGATTTTTTTTCACAGTACTGTTGCTATGGATCTGAAGATATCCATGGATAACAGATTCTATTCCTTTGCTCAGATGATGAGAGTAATGTTGCAGTCACCAGACCGGATTCGGGAAGCCCCTGTGTACTAAGTGAACCCCAGCCTTTGGTGTTACCTCGAGTGCCACAGTCTAAGGTGCTGCCGATCACCTCAAATCCGGTAAGCCCCACAGGCAAATGCACTGGAACACCTAGAGGTGTTCTTGCCAGAGGAAATTCGCTCAGTTATTTGTCTTAATTGTATTTATGATTCAATTTTTTTTTTCGGTAAAGATATATGTTAAGTTTTCTAATTTTATTTAATTTCTGGTGCAGGGGTTTATCACAATAATCCAGTGACTCTTTGTATTGATAAGTTTAATTTCAATTAAAAAATTAATTGATGCTTCTTAGCTCAAGTAGATACATGAGACTGAATGGGCAGCTCCTGTCCGGAGGCGAGATGAGAAGGTAGAAAGGGACAGGAGCTGGTTGAATGGACATGGGAAATCCGAGGTGGAAAGGAGAAGTACACTGTCATATTATAGGGAGAGCAGCTAGGGTCACGTAGCGATGTGTGTATAAATTTTTGTATGAGAAACTAACTTGAACTGTAAACTTCCACTTAAAGCACACACAAAAAAAATTGAATTGAGCAAATTAGGGTTGATTAGGAATTTTCAGTCAACTCTTTTGAAGAGTCATTCGTAAGTTGTACAAAATCTAGAATCAAATATGTGGTCAGCATATGTATGTTTTGGGAAGAATGGAGGATGAAAAGAGAGACCAATCTTAGATTTTCTATGATCTTCACAATCTTTATTTTGAATTTCTTCTTTTGACTCCTTCCTTCCTTTTTTTTTTCTTTCATCTCAGCCTACCCTGTTTTTTAATTATTTTTATTTTTGTATCTGTTGACTTTTCTGCCTTTTGGCTGTTTAGTACTCATTACCCAGGTACAGAAGGCAAACCAAAGTGAGGAGAAAACAGTCTCGAGTAAGTCTGTGGACAAGCTTAAAGATGCCCATTTCTTGCAGGAGACTGATGAGCCTGGTCACATCCTGGGTAATGATTTATATAGTCCTAGTTCCTACATGGTCGTTTCTTAGTCTTACTTCTGAGGGGGCAAGGGGAGGGTTGTGAAAAACAAGAAAGAAGGAAAGAAAGAGAAAGAAAAAGGATTGTTCTAATCCTTGGGCCATGCTTATCAGCCCTGGGTTTTACTACCAGATCTAGTCATTGGCTTTGTTGGGAGATTGGCTAGAGATTATGCAGCTGGATTCATGAAAGAGTTATTTAAGTATAAAATCAGCAAGAACTGTAAATCGTTGCATCAGGGGATGAACCAGCTTCCTTTAGTGATGATAAAACACTTCTGCATATTGAACTGGCCTGGCTATGGTTTGGGTGGCCTAAGGCCTAAATAGTTAACTTAGATGGTCTGGTTGCTAATGGTCAAAGGAAGGAGAAGGTTAATCAAAGCATTCTTGAGAGAAAGAGGGAGGAGAACACATTCTGTGGAGATGGAAGAGATAGCCAGAAGGGGCACTGAACCCGTGACCTGAGAAAGAAAACAAACTGGGCTCTGGAGTGGCAGTGTCAGTCCAGGTAAGCTTAAATCCTAACAGTAGCGCAGATAAGATGAACTCCCTCTGATAAACAGTCTTCAGGATATAGGTTCTCATTGAGAGCTGACTGCTCCAGGGGTAGTTAGTGAAGGAGAAAGGATTAGTTTGTGCAGATTGCAGGATTGTGTGATGATGGTAAAAGAGAAGATTAAGTTAGAATTTACCCTTTTTTTTCTTCTGTTTTTCGTTCCATATTTCATTTGTGATTTTTCTTTTTAGGTTTTCTTTTCTAATGAAATGTAAATAATCGTAATAATAGTAAAGGTGCTCTCTCCTCTATGGGAGTGGCTGTTACTTGCTTTCATATGGGTTGATCAGGCTTCCTCCACACGCAGTCATTTAGACCTGGAGAGGAAAGAAAGGACTCTGACCTTGTCATTTGACTGTGGACTTGGGGCCTCGCTAGGGCTATTGGCCATGATGTTAAAAAGTTAAGTCACAGGAGAAGAATGTATAAATGACCTAAATTGGAAATAGTGACTTGTGGCAAAGTTGGGAAACCAAGCAGGTGTCTTCACCAACCAATAATGAGTAATGTCTTCTTTTTACATATAGATGAGTCTCTGTCAAGCAGCAAGCAGCCATCAGCCAAATATGAATGGTCTCTTGGTTCACGGGATGCCTCTACAGCCAAGAAATCTCTCCCTAATGGATAAGCTCCTGTAAGAAAATTAAAATTTCAATAGACTATAGAGTTTAAGTAGATCATTGTGCAAAGTCAGCCAATCAACGTGCATGTGTTGAGTACCTACCAAGGAACCATAGAGAAACTTGGAGAGTAAAACATCTAAGAGACTTGGGCTCCATCTCAGGGAGCTAATAATATAACTGGAAAGAGAAGACACACACAGGTAAAAAGAGACTTAACCATATAGGGCATTTTTGTGAAATGTGAATAGGGCGAATGTTATGGCAGCCCCAAAGACGAGAGGCATTATGCTGCGTAAGTATAGGTTTTTAACTTGTTTTTCAATGATGGTGGTTTTAATAAGCAGAGAAAAGCAGTCAGGACTTTCTAAATAGAAGGAACGGTGTGGGAAAATGTTTGGAGATGGGAGAATACAAAATATTTAAGAGAGAAGGCAGATACTTCTTGCTATAGTAGGCTAGAAGGGGATAGGTCAGAACTCCAATGCTTCTGACTAAAGATCATCGATAATCTTTGAGAATTAAAGTAGGCCATGGTGTCATTAATGGGACAGAAGAAACTATGAAACCAGAGAAGGTTGGGACCAGATTGTGGAGGCGTTTGAATGCTAGATGAATTTCTAGAGATTTGGGCAACTGGAAATTTTTGAGAAGGGAACTAAGATTTTATTTTACAGTTTTTTTTTTTAATTATGGTAAAATTTATATCTAGTGAAATGCAGAGTTTAAGTGTATAATTTGCTAAGTTTGATAAATGTATCCACCCCATGTAACTACCTTTCTAATAAAGAAATAGAACATTTCCATCACCCCAGAAAGTTTTCTCATGCCTCTTCCAGTTGATCCCTTATCCCCCATAGGCAACCATTGTTCTGATTTACATCATCATGGATTAGGTGGCTTCTGTGTCTGGCTTCTTTTGCTCATTATGTTTTCGAGATCCATCCACATAACAGTGATCCATTCTTTTATTGCCAAGTAGTATTCCAGTGTAAGAATACACCACAATTCGTTTACCCATTTTCTTGTTAATGGACGTTTATTTCCAGGTTGGGGCTATTATGAATATAGTCACCACAAATCTACATAATTCTTTTTGTGGACTATGATCTCACTCCTTTCTGGTCAAAACCTAGAATTGTTGAGTCATAGGATAGGTATATGTTTACATTTATAAGAAACTGCCACACGTAACTGTGTTTTCCAAAGCAGTTGTATCATTTTGTACTCCCACCAGCAATGTATGAGTTTAAGTTGAGGAGCATATGTATTTATTTATTTTTATTGTAATTTAGATGAAGGTTTTCAGAACAGACTAGCTTCTCATTAAACAGTTAGTACACATATTGTTTTATGACATTGGTTAACAACCCCACAACATGTCAACACTCTCCCTTCTCGACCTTGGGTT